TCCTTATTTTATACCCCTACTTTCGCCATCCCCACCCCCTCCCCCACTCACACACACACCGCTGTAAACATTGTAATATAATGTGAAAGAGCTAAAATGTGCGGTAGTGTCAAGAAACAATATTATGAATAACGTATGATGGAAGTTATTCTACTGAGATTAATAGAAACTGACTTGATCGGCAGAGAAAAAGAAACATTACTAGGCCAGAAAACAAACTGAAAGTGAGAGGCAATACACTTCTGGTCCTGGCCTTCAGTGCTTTACTCGTACATGTACTTTCTACACCCCCACACAAAATATCGACGTGCACTGGACCCGTTAAATATATGTAATAAGAACTGTTCTGTACGATGACAAAAATCAATTGATACTGTACCAGTGACGCTGTCCCAAGTAGATCAAGTCTACAATTAAGATAGTATACAAAGCTGGACAAAGCACACAACAGTTTCCGATTATTATATCATCAAATTTTCTTCATCGCACTTCTCACTTCTCAGAACAGAACACTGTGTTGTAACAAAGTGGGGAAGAGTCAAATGCTAAAATAAAACTTGGTGTCTAGCTGGGGTGACGGTGGAAAAAGGGAGGGAAGGGAGGGGGTAGGCCTGGCCCAGACTCTGACAGCCGAGTGCCTATCGCTCCTCGTTAAAATTCTCCTTATATATCTTCACTAGACAATTCCTCCTTCCAGCGGCCAGACTCCTATGGACCAGGTAACTTATTAGTGGTGAGAAAACGATGAGTAAATGTCAAACAGGAACTATAGGTGGTTAAAAAGTCAATAAACAAAAAAGATTAGTGCCATGCTAACAATAAATGTTCTGATAGTAGTTAGAGAAAGGCTGAATGATAAATACATGTTTTGCTGATAAAATAATACATGTGTCTGTGCTGTTCAAGACAGCCCCAATCTTAATTTTGTAAGCTACAAAGAGGCCAATTTCTAGGTCAATCCACGGCAAATCACATGACTTCACCACGCGGTTAGGCTAATAATAGCAAACCACGGATGAAGTATTGAAAATAGAGTTCGTCAGGATTATTTGGTATTATTATTATCATTATTACGGTATTATTATTATTATAATCGTAATTATTATTATTATTATTTTATGATTATGATTATAATTATATATAATAATTATTATATTATTATTACATGTATTATCATTGTTATTATTAATATTATTCTTATTCTTATTATTGTTATTATTACATGTATTATTATTGTTTTTATTATTATCATTATTATTATTACTACTGTTGTTATTGTTATTATTATTATTATTAATATTATTATTATTATTATTATTATTCTCGTTACTATTGTATGTATTGTTATTATAAGGCCCGACTGCATCTCATTATAGTTATCTTCTTGTCGTTTTTTCGCCTATGAAATTGTCCTTTATATAGTGGTGATTCATGTACAACACTCCATATTTCATTACAAAATTTACAACACAATGAAACTATGTTAAGCGCGTTGAGTATGTTAAGTGGGAATGCGCTATATAAGAACGCTTTTGTTAGTCGAGAAAACGACAAGAAGATAACTATAATGAGATGCAGTCGGGCCTTATAATAACAATACATACAATAGTAGCAAGAATAATGATAATAAAAATATTATTAATAACAATAATAATAATAATAATAGTGCTAATAATAATAATAATAATAACAACAACAACAGTAATAATAATAATAATAACAACAATAATACATGTAATAATAACAATAATAATGATAATAATAACAATGATAATACATGTAATAATAATAATATAATAATAAACATAATTATAATAATAATAACAATTAATAATAATCATGATAATAATTATAGTAATAATAATAAAAATAATTACGATTATAATAATAATACCGTAATAATAATAATACCGTAATAATAATAATAATAATAATAATATCTATATCAAGTAATCCTGACGAACTCTATTTTCAATACTTCATCCGTGGTTTGCTATTATTAGCCTAACCACGTGGTGAAGTCATGTGATTTGCGGTGGATTGACTTAGAAAGTGTAGAACCGTATATATTTGAGTATGCGAGCCAGCACGATAACAAACGTGAAGGAATGAGGCTCTGTCGCGACAAATAAACAGCAGAGAATCCCACTTGTCTATTTGAGCGCCTTCAAATCGGCAAGGTGCTGTTGAATGTTGATACATGTTTGTTTGGATTTACTTAAAACTGAATGAAAATCATCTTTGACCGGCACCGCCAGTCTTGCCCAGTTAAAAAAACCGCCCCTGGATATATGCATGTACACGCATATGTATTCAGAGCCATGAGTCTTCTCTCTCTCTCTAACTTTAAGTCTATGTCTTCCTTGTGGGACAAAGACTATCAAGTAGCCAACCAGTAGGTGTTGTGCGCTGAGCGCAGAGTGGTGGGGCAAATTTACATTACAGTGGAAACCATAACAGGCCCGGTAATAACAGGGATTTTTAAAATCCCCATTTTTTTCTACTCTTTGTCTCTAAAATTATCGGCAATAACAGGGCATCATAGGAGCCCAATCGGTTATAGCAGGGACAAAGGCTCGTTAACAATGTTTAAAAAGTAAGAGAGAGAGAAAGAGAAAGATAGAGTAAGGCAGTGATTGAGCAAGCCCACGCAAGCCACGTTACTGCTGCAAACACATTTGCATTGGATGAAGCAAGAGAGGGCTGCGGTGTGCTGCAGACTTCGGTCTTCTAGTCCTTAGCCTAGCTACACGCATGCGTAATGTGTCATGCGCAGGCCTGCCAATGGCCAAAACCCCTGTTCGTAGGTACTTGTGGCAAGGGAAATTACCCATGCATAAATACAGCTGGATTAGTCCACAAATGCTTACTTCCCTTGCATTTCTGATTGAACAGGGCTCGGATATATATACAGCGGAACTCAGATTCAACGAGGTCGTTGGGCCTGACCTAAAATCTCGTTGAATCCGAGTGTTCGTTATAGCAAACATGAGGTTTTGTGTAGATAATTACAGGCACTAAGCAAGTACTGTATAAAGAGAAGTCACAAGTAGTGCCTGAAATGCCTGCATATGATGATTTGTGTAAAAAAAAGGACCTGATTCGTTCAAATGCACGCCTGTGTCATCTCGATTGTTTACCAAAAAGTTGTGTTGCTGTGTAGAGCCTAGCACACGGCAACTTTTGATTCCATAGACCAGCGCTCAATTCATTATGTAGATCTACGTCAAGACTACCCCCCCCCCCCGACATGCACACACAGTCACATGTGTGCAGGCTGCTCATCCGTCCCCGACACACACCAGAGTAGACACGTGCACGTGCCAACAACGCATGTGTTGGTGTGAAAAAAGGCCGCTGATTGGTCGCATTCAATCGGCTAAGTGAATAATGGTTCACGATGCAGGTGTAATGGATGGTTTCAAGGAATAGGTAAAGTTCGTTCTGGGAGAAAAATGAGCAGAGCCACGTCTGTGGGGGCTGTTCACCCTGGAAGCGACCTTGTTGAATCCGAGCTCGCTGATTTAAGTGCTCGTTGAATCCGGGTTATTTTTTATTGATTTTAACTCACTCACTGCCAGGCATTTCTCGGCAGGATAACTGAAGAATGCCAGGCTTTCGGGACCATTTTCAAAACCTCACTGTGAGCTTATTATTTTGTGTACAGCACTGAACTTTTCCACAAACAATGATATTGAAACATACTCAACAAATCAAAAAAAAATTTTGTGATACCTTTACCGAGTGAAATTTTACGAGTTTCTGAGTATGAGGCAAAATCTAGCAAAAAAACTTTTATATAACATTTCGGTGCTTGGTACATTCAGTCGATATGCATGCCTTTATATCTTTATCTCTGCAAGAAATAGATGTTGTATCAACTGACAAATGTTGAAAAGTCTGAAAAGATATCTGACAAATTTTATATTACTGGAATATCATTTAAGTCATCAGTCCACTCATCTTGCGCATTAACATCAGGGTGTGTGGTTGCAGGACGGGGCATGGCCACTGGGGGAGGGGTCCCACTATTTGAAGTTTGTTGTGTAGACATAGGAGGGTCTATGTCAGCTGTATTCCTATCATTTGGGGTCTAAATCTACGTTGTGTGATCTTTGACGTTTGCATGACGGGCCTGAACTGGGACCGGGAAGCATCGGATCATAGGTCTGAGCATGGGGAACACCCGATTCTAGATCTAGGCCTAGATCTAGCACAATTTTCATCTTCACTTGTGTCCGCACCTCTCCTATATTCATTATCAACTCTGTATGATGGTTCATCATCACTATCATCTGCAAAAATATCTAAATCTGACCCTTTGTTGACGAATGGGTCCCTCAATTCAAATTTTCCGACCTCATTGAGACGCCGTCGCAACTGAGCGTCAGTAGTTTTTAGTTCGTTTCGGGTGAGTTCGAAAAAGTCTGATTTTTAAGTAGCTTATTCAAGGGAAGTTACTGCAACAATGCGGAATCGAAACTAAACTGGCTTATGTCGCCTACTTCTGACTGCCAAGCCCGAAACGCGTCGGGGAATGTTTGAAAAATAGTAGTAAAAACGCACCCGACGGGTTTCGGGTTTGGCAGGCAGCAGTCTACGCGGATCACCCGACAGGGTTCGGGTATGGCAGTGAGTGAGTTAAAGAAGAAAAAAACCGGGGAATCTATCTCATCTCGTTGAATCCGAGTTCTCGTTGAATCTGAGTTCTCGTTGAATCCGAGCTCCTTGAATCCGAGTTCCACTGTAACAGGACTTTTTCTCTGGTCCCACCATCCCTGTTATATCAGGTTTCCGCTGTACATTAGTTAAACAAGGACAGTAAAATACAGACAGTTGGCGGATGGTGGTGTGAAGGTGTAAATAGTGTTTATATAGGCCCTCCTTTTCGTACATTGGTAAAACCTGGCAGTAAGTGGCGATGGCGGTATAACGGAGGGCAATACAATGAGGTTTGACTGTAATCCTCGAAGTACCGGTAAAAAAAGATTAGAACAAACTTTGTCTGAGATCTTTGAATTTAATCAGGTCAAAAAAAAAATTCAAGACAAGACAGAACATATTAATTATCTAAACTCTTCTGTAGGTACTGCATAAACATGCTTGAAAGTTTCTGAATGTCATCCACTGGGTGCATCTTTGTATAGGTAATGAACTGCCGCCTATGGCGCTGAAGTTCTGATAAACCCACAGTTCTAGTCACAGTGATGCTCTCTTTGCTGTCCGCTACTTTGATCACGTCACCAGGAACTGCTGTCTTTTGGGCACTAACAATTTCAGTAACAATGTCTTGTGTCCTCTTATCGAGCTCATACAGAAAATTAGTGGACGACAAAGGCTGCGATTGTGTAGACTGGTTAGGTGCTGGGGCTTTCTGTTCAAATAAAGCATCACATACAGTAGCAAAGTCTAATTCTTCATCTTTCACGACTGAAAACAGTGGTTTATCCCAGCGATTGTTTGGAGAAGGGCATTCGAATCTCATGATAAGCTCATCCATCAAAAGAGGGTCAAATTGTTCGCTTTCAGCACGCATAAGATTCCATGATTTGGACGTCTCTGCATCTGTCACACAATATATCACACAGTGTGGAGTCCGACAAGACTTAGTTACACAGAACAGTTCATATCTGAAACCTTTGATGTAATTCATAGAGTCCAGAATCACAACATCATCCTTACTAAGAAGCCTCTGAACGGAAGACTTTAGGTCTCCTCGCACTTCACGTTCTTTATGAGAGTTGGCGTACAATTCGTTGCGGCTTGAGCCTTCTGCATTTTCATTGACGACATGAACTTGTTTTGAAGGAAACTGAGAAGACAGATGGCTGCACAGCTGTTGGCAACGGGTGGTTTTGCCACTAGCAGGAAAGCCACACATCACTACAAGAGGCATTCTGATCTTCCAAGTTTACCTGAAAATAGAACAGTTATTTTAAAATTGAGTTTAAGTCAATGTAAAAGCATTTTTACACTAGTAGTTGTAATAAAATCAATTGTTCTTGAAAACCAGGGGTGTCTTGTCGGTGGCGTCTCCAGAAAGGCTGAAAAAAAGCATATTGCAATTCACTAACTTTTTCTTGTGTTTCAAAGATGTCATTTTCTGATCTGAGTAACTTTGCTCAAGACACTTACCGTGCTTAGTCAAATGCGTTTACTATTGTTTGAAAATATCACAACTTTGAGCACATGATCAGAAATTCCTTTTAAAATGTGGAACATTTATATAATCAGAAATTCCTTTTGGTGTGATTAGTGTCTGAATCTCAATTCGGTAGGTACCAAACTGAACCCGTGGCACATTACTAAAACAAATGACTGTAATTGTCTTTGTTCTGTAATTTTTTAACTGTGCAAAAAAACCCCACTGCTCTCGCTCCCAGACCAACTTTTATTTCTAGAAGGGTTTGTCAGAGAGGGTTTCTCTGATTCTCTTTCTTGCCGACAGTGAAATTCATAAATCTCGAACACGGAAATCACAAATTCTTGGGTATCTCGAACATAATGCTCGATTCTGTTTCAGTCCCTATGTTTTCTTTGTATTGACTTCACTGAGTTCCCGAACACACAACACTCGATTCTTGAACAAATCCACTTCGCATTCTCAACTAAAGACCCGGCTTTACAGCCTTTCTGGCCACAGGTAGATGTTTCTTTGTTATTGTTATAGCCAAAACGTGGTCCTTGTCTCACCATGAGGCTGGAGGAAAGGGGGGGTTAGGGAGTGATGTGGACCGCACTGCAAAATTTGCTCGCCACGAATGCAATCATGCTGTGGAATGCGCGCAGAGCGGATGGCAAGAGGCGTAACTTTTTGTAAGCCAATGAAATGAGAGGAAAGGAATGACGTAGGGGTCGGCTGTGCACACGTGAGATTATCTGCTTTCCACTTTCATTCATCTTCTTGCTTTCACACTGTCAATACGCTCATCTTTTTATCTGCCTTGAATTTCTCTTTCTTTCTTTGTATTTGGGGCTTTCACGGACATGACGAATTACGGAAATCTCACACACATTTCCAATCCCCGATGAATTCCCTGTTACCCGTATTTGACTGTAGTATATTTATGGAATTACTCAGGGCTTTTTGACTTCTCTTCGCAGTTTTATTCCAATGGTGTTTTTTGCTTCAAGCTCATGACTTTTACAACTTCTGCTGACGGTAAAGCTAAAACGCAAAGATGAAGGTAGAGGCCAATAACAGCTATCCCAGACACCAAGGCTGTGCTGTCATCTTGTGCTGGGATTTACAAGAAAGGCTTTAACTCCCTCCCCCAATGACAAGAAACCTGGGGGAACATCAGTGACAAAAGGGAATATAGAGGTTACACTCCAACTCCATCACATTGTCAATGAAAAGTCTCCTTTCAGGAGCATAAATAGCACAGTTCTGACGTCTGAACACTCTCTTTCTCTCTTTCCCTCAAGTCATTTCTAATTCATGATACAGTGGAACTCGGGTTCAACAAAAACTCGGATCAATAAAAGGAGATGAATTCTCCGTTATTTTGTTATTTTCTTCTTCATTAAATCAATAAAAATAATTCGGTTTCAACCAATACATAATGAGCAAGCTCAGATCCAATGAAGTCACTTGATTCATATTAATGAAGATAAGCATTGGAATAGATGGTCATGAACATCTTGAAGTTTATAATTCACTAATTTATTTCTGCTTCAAGATGTTCATGACCATCTGCCAATGCTTACCTTCCTTAATATATGAATCAATAACTGATAATAAACACCTTCTTCATGAAGCATGCACAATCTGCTCGAAACAATAACTTACTTTACTTTACTTTTATCCGCCGCTTATACCCTTTTGGGTGTCGCAGGAAGAAAGAGACGTTTCTCTGTAGCCAGCCGAAGAGTTTGGGTCAGGGGGATGCCGTGGGCTTTCATTGTTCTTTTTAGGAATAAATAATCCGCTGCCGACTTGTTAGGCCTGTCACAGTTTCACCAGAGCCCCGTTAGCCTGCAACTTTTTGGAGTGACCTGGGTTCTCCTTCACAGCAAGCGTGACGCCTCAGTGGCATAAAGCCATACCGTACTTCGTTGAACCCAGCAATCAAAAACAGAGACGAAATAAAAACTCTGTTGTTCCCTCTTTACTTTGTGTTACATGAATTGGACTACACTTTAGAAGATTCAGAGACATGTTTCACACGAGCTGATATTACAGAGTTATTCCGTATCATCAACTTAATACTTTCAATGAAAGCATTCGGTTATAGGGCTCTTTTTTTAATTGTGAAGAAAAGCTTTTCTGTATGTTTTGTGTTACATGTTACAATGGCATGAGAGGTGGACATTCTGTCTAATGCGATCATAACATTTATGCATTTAATAAGGAACTGTTTTTGCATTCCAGCAAAGTACATGCTAGGAGAGTATACAAACATTTAGATAACTTGATTACTTTATTCTATCACTATCATAAGAAAAAAATTTCCTTACTAAATGGTATTTTTGTTTTTGTCTTGAAATTTTTCTTTCTCCTTTTTCTCCATGTCTTTTTTTTTTAATGAAAGAGAAGGTTTCTACTGTTTCTGAGTTAAAAACTACATCAATAAACCTTTCTAGTCAATATTTCACATGATGCTGAGTTGATTTCATCATGTTCTTTTTGTCAAAATTTGGTGGACCGCTCATGGAATAGGCCCATTGATTTGCACAGATAAAAAGTTCAACAGAAATGTGGTTGTGAAAACTCACTACAGTAGCACACAGATAGGTCAACACTGATTACTTCAAATCATGCATCCGTCCCGGGCTGGGGCCACCATCCCCGACCCGGCGGGTCCCAGGTGGCGGATTGGGAACGGCCACTGTAATAGAGGTTAGCTGTGAATATGTTGAATAAGCAGCCCCGGACCAACTGGCTATGCTCTTACCAGGACGGGGTGAGCTGGTAGGTGTGGCACTACCACGTCATTAAATGAATGCCCTAGAGTCCTCTGACTGGAGCATCATGCGGAAAAGGACCGCATTAAGTCCGGCTACGGATGGGATCTGGCAACAATTCCTCCCTGTGCTCCCAGGGTAGGTCGTAGGACCTGGAGAGTGCTGAAATCGGAGGTATTGGGCCTCAAGGCGCACTCTAGAGAACCACAATACCACGTAATACTGCAATATATGACACTTGAAGTAGGTAACGTTAGATATGGTGCTCGTCGTGTGCGGACCCACCAGGCAGGTGCAGTGCCGGGCCCCAAGCCTCGAAGGGGTCCACCCCAGCGACTGGAGGGCCTTCCATCGTCTTGGAGTACCAGGAGACGAGGAAGAAAAGTGACTGGTAACAAGAACACAGAACAGGTAAGGAAAAATCTTAATATTATGCACTGGAATGCCGGAGGAATCTCAAACAAGAAAACAGAGCTGGAAAACTTTCTAAAAGATAATGAAATACACATCAGATGTATACAGGAAACACACCTGCAGGAGGAGGCAAGCTTTAAGGTAAAGGGATATTATATAAATCAGTGCTTCAGAAACGATCGCCAAGGTAGAAAAAAAGGAGTATTGACTCTGGTAAGAAATAACCTAATTACCGTTGAAATCAAGAAAATATATACAGGAGAGGCTCAATATACCCACAACAGGATCACCACCAGCAGAGGCACTCAGGATCAAGTGAACTATTATTGTCCAAACGATAAAAACCTTGTGCTAGAAACCATTGAAGTCCCAGACATAGACTTTCTCATCGCTGGAGATTTCAACAGCCAGTCCCAGAGTTGGGGTCATAACAGACTAGACAGGAGAGGAGAAGAAATAGAGGCTTGGCAGGATGAAAACCATCTTCTGCTTGTGAACGATCCTTTAGATCAACCCACATTTTATTCTCGAGCTTGGCATTCAACTATGACTCCAGACATAGCACTCTGCACAGAAAACTTGCATAGACACCTAAGTAGAAAAGTGTAAACCCAGCTTGGAGGAAGTGACCATCGCCCTGTTCTTCTTACCATAGTAGAGAGCCTGCCAAAGGACAGCCCGAAAAGGCCAAGATGGAACTACAAAAAGGCAGACTGGAGACTTTTCAGCATAAGAACTAATGAGCTGAAAAAGAACATCAGTCTTCGACAAAAACATTATCAATGCTATCACAGAGTTCAATGAAAACACCCTTAAGTCAGCAAAAGAAACCTAGAGGGGTATGGAAAAATTACACCCCACACTGGACGCTTGAACTCCAGAAAACACATAACGACCTCATCAAGGCCAGAGAAGAAGCCGAATCACATTCAGGGATAGAAAACAACAACAAGCTACAGAGGTGTAAAGCCCATTATCTCAAAACCAAATTGGAGTGCACTAGGAAAAGCTGGAGAGACAAAACGCACAAACTTAACCTGGAAAAGGACACCACAAAACTATGGAGGCTTGTAAAGGGGCTAAACGACGAAGAAAATAAAAGTGCCAAGATCACTCTAGAAGTTGAAGGAGAGATGGAAAAGGAGAAAAGGGAAGCACATACCTTTGTAAAAGCATATGCTCAAGAAAGCAACATCAAAATACCAAGAGAGAGACAAAAAGAAGTCAGACAAGAGGAAAGAAGAAAAAGTACAAAAAACATCCTGGAAGCAAAGGAGAAAGACATCCCCATGGAAGAGCTGAAAAAAGCAATCAATCAACTAAAGCAAAGAAAATTGCCAGGCCCACATGAATTAAAAAAACAAAATGTTACAACACCTGGGCAACACAGCCCTACAGAATCTACTGGATACATTCAACTTAACTTGGAAAAATGGGCAAGTACCTCAGTGCTGGAAAGAAGCAACGATGATCCCGATCCTCAAGCCAGGGAAAAGTAAGGCACAACCATTAAGTTATACACCTATCAGCCTCACAAGCTATGTAGGTAAGACAATGGAGCGCATCATAGCTGGAAGAATGCAGCGGTACCTAG